CATTGTGTCATTTAGTTTTTATCTATTTTATGTTATCTAATTTACTTATCGTAACTTATTCGCCACGTAGCATAGATTGTGAATATTCTTTTATTAATAATAAAAAAAAAAAAAGAAAGAGAAATATAATAGCTGTAATAGTCATGCGATAAACAAAGAAATATAATAAAAATTTAAATTATGAATAATAAATATTGTGTATGATGGCTAAATATTCGTGAGCGCGACGACAAATTTAATACTACACAGTAGATATATAAAAATAATAATTCATATTATTGTAAGTATTATAATGTCGTAAACGAAGCCGATTCGATCGACTAAATAAAACGCTAACGCAAGAACCCGAAACTTAAATCGATGACTATTGTGTTTTTGTTCAATAAGTATATCATATGATAGGTGATTTTTATTTTCCGTCGCCGAAAATTAAACACGTTTTGTCTGTTTGTCGCGTTTTTGTATAAAGGTAAACACGGTTTAAAACTGGTTATTTCCGCGATGTTTACCGCACGTTAGATAGGCACAACTTCCGAGAGTTGTTTACACCGCTGAGTTAGACAACGATAAACTCAGTTGTTCATAAATCAGGAAAAAAAATGATTTCCTTACGTATTATTATTATAACACATACGTACTTCCTATAAAACATATTTAGACTTTTAAAGTCACATTCCAGAGCACTGTACTTAAGCACTCGTTCATAATACTAATTTTGATAATGGGCCAAAGAAAAAAAACTATCCTAGGATAATGGTAATGGATGCAGCCACTGTTATAGGTAATTTAATGTATATCTGTAAACTCTAAGCAATGATTAATCATTTCTAATGAAAAAACGATTCTGAGCGGAGTTCAGTTGATAGTGTTGCTTTATCAACAATATATATATATATCATATTATGGTAAAATAATTACATATTTTTTTTTTAATATTTGTTTAATATTGTACCTATTTTCTCGTTTTTCCCATTTGTTGAGAAAATTCCTGGGAAAATCAAAAAATGACCTCCGTCGGGAAGGTAGGGTACATACATTTATTTAAATGATATCTATCAATGCTAACGATAAACAATTCAGAACGAAATTCGGTTACACATGTTTTAAAAGACCGTAATGTTTACGATTATCGTCAAAATTGTATGTTAACTCATATAAAAAAAATTACTACATTACACTCATATTTGCAAATGTTTTGAAAATTAAATATTTAATATTTGCCGTTTTTTCGATAATTTTTTTCCCGGTTTTGCCCAATTATTATGAAAGTCCCTTGGATATTAAACAAATGGTCTCCCAATGCACTAACTAGATAAAGATTCCTTTCAGAATAATTGTTATACTTGATAGATAGGAGCAAGATTTTTGTTAAAAAAAATATAGATTAAAATAGTTATAATTGTTACTTATTCAATAAATAAATGTATATAATCCGGTCATCATAATACACACAAATCGTTTATGTCAATTTGATCGATGGATATCGCGGTATTCCGAGTCATTATATTATACTTAACAATAAAATTAATAATATATATCCGGCACATAAAAATTGCTTTTGGTTGGAGTTTTTGATTAAACCAATTTACAAACAAATACAAATATTCCCATGATTTTCGAAAAACACCAGTCCATAGACGATTGAGTCCTGACAGAAATACACAAGTATCATCAGCCTCAGGGTACCGGAATAGCGAAACCACGTGTAAGATTTATACGGGTTTATATTTTTATTTTACACCTTAAATCCCACCGCGGTGGACCTCTCATCATATACGTCACGTTCCTTTTTCGACCCAAGAGTGACTAAATTATTTTTATTACGATAAAAACACGACTTATTTGTACCCTTTTGTAGCCATCACGAGTGGACGACCCACAGTGCACGATGGTCCACAAAAAACAAAATAAGCTGAACATGTGACAAGCACGCGTGGATGAAGTGAATTTTCTTTCAGAGTTATAAGACTAATTTAATTGTATTCATGGAATGACAAAAATGCATATAAAACATCTATTTTATTCTTAGATAAAAAATAATTGGTTTTATTATTATTATTATTATTATTATTATTACTATACATTATTTTACAATGATTCTTCAGGCATGACAGATATTATTGGTAAACGGCAATTAAAATAACTAATGTAAGTTTTTGATTCCACGCATTTTCAATATATCTTGTAAAAATTGCATCTTTTATGGTTCCTGGCCGAGTTGTTGAAACTTTCGGATCGCTATTCATTAATAAATTGAATTTTTCGTGTAAAAAAATGTCAATGTTTTCTATTTATTTGACGCAAAATTTACATTGACGTCCCCTCTAATAGGTAGTTTATCTTCCCCTCTACCGGATAATGCTATATTACTAGTAATATATACAAACAATGGAGCAATAGTTTATTAAAAAAAAAATATTACTTATTCTTTAATTTAGTGTAATATAGAGTACAACAATAAAGGCGGGTTTCCATGAGGAGATGGAATTAACTTGCATGCGATTATGGAATACAAAATTTCCTGTTCGAGAATCGCATAATGATTATTTACATTATGAACAAATCTCGTACATTGTTTTCGAGGCAAGGCGAGTTTCGAAAGCGATTAAGTCGCTTTTTGTTTATTTACATTATTCGAGGTTATTATATACAGTAGTATGTCTAAAATTATCGACAAGTATTTCGCTCTTAATTTAAGGCGAGTTTACACGAGGAGATTTTTTCGTTTCTAGCATTCAAGAATCTGTGCCTTTCGAAAAAATCATAACATGTAAACGATGTATACGATTATCGTAATTATTGTACGAGTTAAAGCGTTATACCTTAGGAGAAAATTGCTGGAAAATGCTGGATACTCGAACGAAATAATCAGTTTGAACGGATGCATACGAGACTCCAACGTTCGATATAAATTAAGAGGGAAGCGTAAATACATTTTTTTTTTTTAAATTAAATTATAAATGTATTGAAATATATGCATATAGTATATATTATTATTTTAAACAAATGAAACGCCGTTAAATTTTTCAGTTTACCCCTCCCTTAAATTAACTTCAGATCCGCTACTGTCGTTGATACACTAAATTATGGCTATATAATTTATCATCTCAATGATAACAATATAATAATATTCTTAATGGTTCCGTGCGTTTCTCTATGCACTATTACGTTGCATATGATGTATGTTAAATTTTCAAGCGTTTTCCGTTACTACTACGTAACGATGAAGCGAGCATTTGACTTCGGACATCAGGACACTTTTTAAAGAGATTTTTTGTATCCAAATGGTCGCACAGACACACAGTTGATTACTGCGCGCCTACTTGAACATAAATGTAAAATATTTGAATTGATAGATTTTATAACAAAATATTTTATTTATATAAAAAATACAATCACGGAGGGAAAGTAACTGGAGAAAGTCCAAAAGTTAAAGAGAATTTTTGGTCTATCTGCAGCTCTTGGAGCAATTTTTAATAGAGGGACTTCCTTCTGAATAATAGATATCCACTAAAGAATGCTCTATCTGGCACTAAAAATAGCATGTAATAGCAAACTTAAGTTGTATAATAGGTGCAGGTACAGGATTATAATAATAATATAATAATGTTTTGTGTTTAACAACATGCATAAATGCATAATACAAGTGTACGTCACCGATCAACCGTGGCTTACAATATATCACTTGATAATTCCATTTAATCGGTACCTAATGTATATTTATATAGGTAATAAAAAAGACTCCCACATTAGCTATAGGTATCATCACCAACTAAACTTTTAAGTAATAAATAACTCTGTTAAGTGATAACGAACGAACCCGACTGATAGTCGCCAAAATATACAAAGTTTATACCCACCTACTTTTGACACTTTAGTTTATGTTATCCGACTGTTAAGCTAAAAACAAATAATTGCAATAAATGTTTTACAGTAAATTATTAATCTTTCTTTAATCTGATGCGTACATACACTTCAAACGTAACGAAGCACCAGTGACGTATCTGAGGAGGGTGGATTGCTCCCTCCCCTTGGCATGTTTTAATCACGGCTATAGCATATAGGTAATAAAATATAATAGTACTTATACCCGTTGTGTAGTACAATTCGTAACCCCTCCCCCCATGATTGAGCTCCAACTACTGTGAATTAGTACCGCAAAATCAAATGGTACACATAGGTACAACCTTTGATATAATTAAGGTGCTTAAACATTACCAACTCTTCTAGGTGGATACTATAAAGCAACTTATTATCACGGTAGTATAGTTGCTACAGTTCTACAGTTCTTTCTTAATATCTTAATACCTACAATTTGAAAATATGATTCGTGCGATCGTGTTAATGTTATTATTTCGATTTCACGAAAAGTTACCTATCGATGTAATTAATTAAAAATATTACACAAAGTGTAAAACACGGGTTTTCATTTCATGAAATCGATAAAATATATGCCCATTTCATGTACACAAATTTAAATTACACGATATGATTATGGATATCCATTTCATGAAAAATACGATTACACTAAACGGATGAAACATATAAATAATAAGTCAAGATAAAAGAAAATTGGTTTTCGCAAAAGGGTATGAAGGGTAAATTATTCATTTTTTTTTTTGTATCTTAAAAAAATATACAATTTAACTTATATCAGAGTATCTAGCCAATATCAATAATACATTTCAAATTACATAAAAAAATTACCTAAAACTTATTTGAACCTTATACCCAAAAAAATAATTATTAATTTATAAAAACATAACGCTAAGTACATAATAATAGTGAACAATTTGTTTGTTAACAATAGACCATAAAAAAAAAAATAATAAAAATAATAATAATTAAAAAACAAATGAACAAATTATTAATAATAAAATAAATATAACAGAGGGGAATTATTCTACATAAACAGTTTTATAGGTAATGCAGTAGGAAATCAGAATTGATCGAAACATTCAATTTTGGACAATGATTATATACTTATGTAGGAAAAAAAATTACAAATATAATTCGTATTCAAACGCTGCCCGTATAGTCGCTAGTAGTTCGGGTATGTTAGTAGTTAAGTAATCACTGAATGCGTCGTCGGTGAACCTTCGGCAGAACTATTATTTATAGGTATCCTTTAACGGCTGATGTTTTTGTAAGCCCCCCCCCCCACTAGCACAAGTCTAGCCAAACATTTTCCGGCGTTAACGCGGATGGTTTCTTCTTTCCTGTGGATTGCCGTAAAATTCATTGACACGAACATGTTTACATGGCCGTGCTTTAACATGGAAAGTAAAACTGGCCTTATTAGACGCACGATGTCCTGTAACATTTTGAAAAGTGTAGTTCGAACAATAGTTATAGGTACCCTTTGACGACCGGTGTTTTTTGTCATAATGGTTTAAATCGAAAATGGCACAGGTAGATTTTTGACGAAAATTTGTTTAGTATTGTATACATACTATAAGAATAGGAACCAATGTTTGCATTGTTAATCACGGATCGAATAATTCGCACGGTAAAGACGTAACGTAACATAAAATAGATTTAAACTCACATGACGTTCCTTGAAATAAATTTTGCTTCCGAAATTTACCAGAAGTTCCAAAAATGCAACGCTAATCATTTCTTTGTTGCGATCGAGCCATTGGGAGGTCCGATTAGCCCCATATAAAGTTTCGTTTACCTGAATGACTTCACTTAAACGGTTTTCAAACGCGTTTCTAATTTGTGTTATCAAATCCAGTACATCGGGATATCGCTCGTTGACCTCTTTGACGTTGAGCATTACATGGAATCTGAAAAAGGTTTTGAATATTTAGATCGGAATTAGTCGAATACAAAACGGATACAAAAATAATGATATTGTTTATATGTACCCTTTGACAACGGCATATTTCGTTATCCGCCCCGCGTTTACGAGGTCGGCCAACAATACGCCAGCTACAGTACGCATTTTCTCGTCTATGTTGGCGAACGCCACGCGGTTCAGTGAAATAATCAATGTCACCTGATTACGTTCCAACGTCAAGATTAAAAATAACGTTAATAGTCGTTTAATGTTCTGTAACATTTTAGAAAATGTATAATTTATATTGTCTTTTGAGACCGGCAGAGTATAATTATTTTCCGGCTGGTTTTATACGGTAGTCCAACATTGCCATACGTAACATCATAAAACGTATTTTAACTTACATAGGATTTTTCGGGATATTTTTTACTAGTCATCTTCAAAATTATTTCAAACGTATCGGCGTGTATTAATTCTGCGGTTTGTAAATTATCATCCAACGGTTCGAAAGAACGTTCCTTATTGACAATTAGCCTTTCCTCGGCCGACTTGTCTGAACCTGCTACGATATTATAAAATATTAATATTAATGATTAATAAGAGAATCAATTATTTCGTATACAGCTTCTGATAAGACCAAAGTTGAGGAAACTATAGGGAATAGAACAATTTAGTTTTACAACGATGGATTTAAAAAAAAAAACAGCTTTTAAATCCGTTTAAACAAGAATATACAAATAATTAAAAATTTAAACCGAAATTAACAATTTTGATTCGAAAGTAAAAAAAAAAATTATAATATCGTATAGAGTTGAAAATGTTTTATAACTTCGTGTTATTCAGATCGATAGCTAAAAACAAAACTTTCTCTTGCTTTTAATTTTCATTTCAACCGTAAAACTAATTGGACATTTGTCTTTTCATAAATATATATACTTTCTGTGATTCGGGAGAGAATTTCCAGCAGAAATTCATTAATAATCATACTTTCACGAGTCCGATCGGTCTAGTATGTTTTTCTAATTTGGTATATCTTTATTTTCAACGTCATATTGCAAGTCTGCGGATCATTGATTATAATACGCATTAATATCGCGTGCGCAATTTAAAATTGTTATTTAATTTAATTTTTTTTATAAATGCGTATTTTACCTCGGACAATTTCGGTGCAACTGACGCAAGCATTTGACTTGTACACTATAACTGTATCCTTTCAACAAATCGTTTAATACGAACGGCCATACAATAACTTGGGATAGACCCCTAGTTCGCAGAGTTCTCCGGTGAACCTATAAAACAACAAAACACGTAAATAATATAGAATAAAATTTAAAACATTCGCGGTATGTATTATATTTCTTGTTATTGACAAGGTACTCGCAATTTCGAAATACATAAAGTACTTCCTCGATTTTAACCTGCTATTGGTTGGAGTTACAAAAATCCTGGGTGCACGCCAGTTCTTATCTACAATGGGTCCGTCATTTTACAACTGATGTTTATCATATAAGTTTACATCATACAACGTTTCAATCAAAATTAAAAATCTATAAGGAACAGCTATATAGACAACAGTTTCATCATGTTCAAGATTCGATTCAAGAATTTTACATCCTCTCGAATGATTGTTGTGAGCATGAAATAATTAATTTCCTTTCGTTTCAATCACTGTGTTCCCCTTCAACGAAAACACCGTTTCAAAACTCGATGGAAAAATTTAGTTTCGTTAACAATCCATAATATTATTTCAGTTCGTGATGCGGAACGACGGTTTATCAGTTGATGAGAAAAGATTCTCAATCAGCTTCTATGGTATACCTATAGCGCATGACGGTCTTGTTTTGTACTACACAATTACACAATTATATTGTATAATTCAGGAAAGAAGAAAATTTGATCATCCTTGTATACCTGTATACTAAAATTTCCCATTTTAATATACAAATATTTACAAATCTGTATTCATAAATTTTTTTACCGAGTTGGGTAAGTAAGTATAAAAATAATTTATAATTTAAACTGTATATTGTATATATGTTTACAAATTTAAATAATTTCATATTTTTGTTTAATAGAACATTCTACTTTTAAGCCTAATTGAGTACATAAATAAAAAAATGTATTTCCTACATAACCTAGAAAATAGAGTAATTGTACATTTATGAACTATTGCATAAAATACATATTTAAATATTAAAATTTTGTTATAATTATATATTATATATATTTGAGAGGTTATAAAAACCATTATATTCTAGAAATAAAAGTTAAATATAAAATATAATATTTTAAAATTTATTATAAATATTGATATTATTGATCACTGTACATATAAAATATTACCATTGGAAGGGGAACAAACACACTCTGCCACTTTGGGTATTTGTGTTAAATTACAATTTTTACAAGTATTGATTTTGTTACATAGTTTACGTGAAGCCTCTAATTAATTAATTAATAGTTCATTATAATTTATAGTTATTAAGTAGGTATACAAATTATCTATTAAGCCTATATGACCTAAAAATTTGATAAATTAGCGTTTATTGCAGACGAGGTACAGCTTCCAAGATAATCATTTAAAAAGTAGCTTTATTTTTTCAGTAGCTCTACAACGTCATAAAAACAATTATACTTTTTACAGCGTCCTAATACCATTTAAAAGTAAATTACTATAATATCAATAAAATATTTACAATAACTCAACATTTATTCGTCAAATAAATTTTAACTTAACTAGTTCAAGGTTAGAAATACCTACATATTTAAATTACAATAAATTATATTATCGATCAGACTAAATTGTATTGTTAATTTATTTATTGTACATGCATACATTGTCATACATACATGCATTCAATTTTTTTTTAACATCAAATAGGCACAAATATTATTATGAACCATGTGTTAAATTGTCAAACATTTTAATTGACTAAAAATAAAAATCATATAAGTTAAAAATAGGTCAAGAAATTACCTCATTTTTATGTTTAAAATTCAAATTTAAACTGGGCCTTTTTTTGTGCATAATACGCTACATTGTGTGTAATACCAAATCTGTTGTGTGAATATTAAATGTGTAGTATGGAAGTATAAAATATGTAGTGACTAATTGCTGAGACTATATCAATTTTATTTAAATTCATGTTTTTTTTTTTTTTTTATACATAACAAATAATATTTGATAAGCTTTGAAATGTTTATTTATCAGTTATTATAAGTATTTTTTAATTATTTAACAAATTTAGAATCAGTATATTAAAGACATTTTATTAAATACAAAGTATTTTAAAATTTGTTATTTATTATTATTAATAATGATGTTTTAAAACTTGTTATCTTAATGCTTGTTAGAATTAGTTTACAGACTTTGAATGAGGAATTAAAACCAGAGGAACGTTTTTTAAATACATTTGTTGAAAGAATAAATAAATAAATAAAATACAAACTAGTTGATATTATGTAGTATTTTTATTTTTAAGTTTACTTTTTACATTACCCACAAATTTCTCCTTAATAAAATTTAAACTTGGAAATATTTGTTAGAAAACAACAAATTGAACAAATTAAACAAATCGTTTAATTGTAAACAACTATATAAATGATACAAAAAATTAGTGAAATTACTGTATTTAAAGGTATGGGGGCAAATTTTATTTTGTGACCGTGAATTTATTTTCTAAACTAAAAAATGTGTAATAGGAAATATTACAAAAAAAGGTCCTGAATTTAAATGCGTATATACGAGTATATATTATGTAAAAAAATCTAATACATTACACTTGTTTTTAGGTTCTAAGTGGAGCAAAGAAACTTATGGTTTTACAAACATGTTTATTTTTTTTTTTAATCGTACCTATAACAAGAAAAATCAAAATAGAAAATAATGAAAATTTTACTTCTGTAACTTGTCTGTTTTCCTAAGTTTTCCCCAGTTTTTAATAAATTTACAAGAAAAATTAAAAATTAAAAAATTTACCTCCCTATGCACCAAACAGACCCGAAATTCTAAGAGCTTATAAGATTTTTGTTCGAAGCAAAATTTCTAATAAAATTGTCTACAGAAAAAAAATTATTTTTTTTTTCATTTAAACACTCGTACTTACCTAGATTGTAAAACCGATACATTCTTCGCTGTGCTCAAAAACAAATACTTGTCATATTAAATTACGGTATTTCAACTTTGTCTTGATGTCAAACATTGAAATAGGTATTACCACCTATATGTGGTAGGTACATGAACATGATACATAAGACCATAATAAATGGAAGTTTTTTAGTGACATGGCTCTTGCCCCTATTGCGACCCTCTGAATTCATGAGAATGCGTATAATAATAATACCTAGGTAAAAAATAAACGGATATATACCGCACGTAGGTGGGTCACTGTTGTAGGTAAGAAGTTGGGAAGGTAGAGGGAAAGTTTAATGTATATCTGTAAGCAACAATTAAACATTGCCAATGAAAAACGATTCTGAGCAGAGTTTGGTTAATAGTGTTGCTTTGTCAACAATATAATATATTATGTCATAGTATGGTAAAATAATTATATATACATTATATTATATTATTTTCTTTGATAATACTTATTTAATATTGTATCTATTTTCCCGTTTTTCCTATTTATTGGGAAAACTACTCGGAAAATAAAAAAATGACCTTCTTTAAGTAACACCCCAATCAGATTTACTTTCAGAAAAAGTGCTATCATTTTAAATCAGAGCAAAATTGCTGGTAGAAAAGTTGTCCACTAGAAAAAAAAAATATAAACATCATTGTAAAAACAATAGGTACATTCCTCGCTCCATTCAGAATCTAAAATATCAAAAATGTTGATTAAAATAACATGTAGGTGTTCCTACATGTTATTTGCATGCGGTACCAGATAATTAATTGCAAAGGTACATTGTATAATAAGAAAATTACCAGCTAGATTAGGTTTAAATTATTCAATTCATATACTTAATGTACCTACACACGCCTAACTTTAAATAGGGTTTCGTCGTGAGATCATAATTTCGAAATCGAATTACTTTACAAAGCACGAGAAATTTTCCCCAAGCCATGTTTTCGAGCTGAAAAACGCTCTAGCACCAGGTTCCAAAACCAAAATGTTTGTTATATGCATGACACATTTTTTCCATAGGTTAATATTGTAAATTATAAAATAATAAAAATGATTTTACTAATAAAATTCGAAAACACTCTCCCTCCCCATTTGAAAATAATGGCAGCTGAGAAACAACAGGGCACACCTGTATACTTCACGTATTGTATTACAACATCAATAGCCGAACAATAATAAATTTAAATAATTATTAAAGAAAACTAATTAGGCCCATCGCGTCCGAATGGACACAGTGAGCCGCGTTTGTGAAGCTCGTCGTCACAATAATCAAATTTGACCTTCATGCAAAACCGAGTTCCATTGTATACAAAGATTACAAAGGTGCTTCGGGTATATATTATAACTACATCAATACAACATCATCGGATATCCGGTCGTGACGACAACGCCCATTGTATTCGACCAGACACAGATAACGGGTTAATTAGAAATTCTGCAGTCATTCCCCCGAAGACGTCTCACACGGAACCGGCAACGAAGAATTGGCCCAGAATCCGCGACAACACACCGTGCGGTCCCTTACAGGGTATATGCATCTGATATTTTGTTAAGATGCGATTCTAAATGGATTATTTTGAGCGAAATTGTTCATAAAAAAATATATATTAATTATACAAACTGTTTTCAATTCGTAGATATGCATAAAAAAAAAAAAAAATTAAAAAAATAATACTTATCCTATATAATATTAAGCATACTACGTTCATATGATGCAATCGAAACAGTTCTATATCATATTAACAGTTTTAAATAATTTTGAAATCGTTAAATTAAAACATTTGGAAAAATTAAATTTTGAACTAGAATCAACAAGGAGAATTGGTAACAGCATCATTATATCCTACCTTCCCAACTTTCTACTTGTAGGCTGCAACTATAGTACACCCATTAAGTATGTATCTTTCATTTTATTAAATATAATTATATTCATTCAAGCCCGGAACAGACACTTTTTGGTTAATAAATAATAAAAATGTATTGTTATTACAAAGACATAATTGGCCAAAAATGTATTACATTTACATGTACCAATAATAAAATAGATAGTACCATTGATTATAAACAGTACTAATACTATTTGTAAATAGTATTAGTACTGTTTGCTAATGGTAGAAAGTATAGTAACCTCTTATATTAAAAGAGTGTGCATATAGGTAATATGTTTTTTTCAATTTAAGAAAGATTAAATTAATATGCATACAATTTTTGTAATATTAATTGTAGATTTTGTACTTAAAAGTTTAAGACTAAGAATTGACACAAATTTAAGCTCGGTTTTGTGATAATCACCAAGAACTTGCTAATACAAAATTAAATTATAAATTAATATTTTACACACAGTATAATAATGAAAAAAAAAAAAAACATTTATTCTGTGTAGAATTTTAATTCACACATAAATGATTAAAATTATTCCAGCCTAATCAAAGTCAAAAGTTATACAGACAAAAATAATAGGTTCATTAGAGATGCATTTGAATACAGTTAAATAAATATTCATACAAACAATTGTATATATTATAGTTTATAATAATAATAACAACAATGTTTATCTCCTATACCGGTACCGTTTAAAGTGGAACCACAATTGAAAAATATTATTATGGAACTGACAACGGAATCCTCTTTTGTAGGAATATTCCCATTCTCTATTCACAATTTTAAATGCTATATCTTCATATGGTGGACCTGCGTGGAATCTCAAGACTGAAAATTCTGGATTATCTCCACAAGCAGTCTAAAAAAGTATACAAATCTATTAATAAAATGTAATATACATTAATTGTAATTTATTAAGCTTTAATTTCGGATATTACCAAAAAATATTGTGGAGTTGAACCTTTATTTATCAAGTCTGGATAGAATATATTAAACTTATAGCCTTGAACAATTTTTGGTGGTGGATTATCCATGTCATAATGGGTCTGATTATATTTATTCCACTCAAAACCAGTATGCACCCTAAGTTAAAATACATAAAATATTGATTTATTATATAATAAGGTACATTTTAAATGATTAAGAGGACGCAATTCCAGAACCGTGCCAAGGAGGTTGCCAGAGGTACAGAGGCACTATGATAAAGGGGGACAAAAAATAGTAATCAGAGGGGTTGTAGACCAATGAAAGTTTCAGAAATTTCGCAATTAAATATTTTTAAAATAAACATATAAATAAGTGAACACCAGACAGACAGGTTTTTTTGTGTCCATCAGTAAAATTCTGGCACCGTGTGCTAATTTAGCTAGTTATGGCACTGCACTATAACTCTATTTACAGTTTCAGTCTACCTCACAGACAACACAGCAAAATTGTGTTACTTAAAACATAAATATGTCATTAAGGTTGAAATTAGAGTTTGAACACACATAATAACATATTAAGAGAAAAATATTTTTGAGGGTAATACATTATTAATACGTTATTTTTTCTAAAATATTATTAAACAAAGGCATGCTAATTTTTTTTTTTTTAAATAGCTAAAACTTTTTTTTAAAACTGATTGTATATGTTTTAATTTTTAAAAAGCAATCCAAGATTCATAAATCTTGAACAATTATTTTGTAATTCTTGATTTGTTGAATTTAAAATAAACAAAATCCTTAAATATGCTATACAAATTATATGAAATCCTAAAATATCTCCTAAAAATGCAAAAATGAATGCAAGTCCTAAAATATATTTAGGTACAAACTAAATGTTATTTGCAATCAAACAATAAAAATATGCAAGCGTATATAAAAAACTGGTTTACTTTATTACCTATTGAAATATCGAGGTTTCCGTGGTCTATACTTATCAGACCATAAGTACACTTGATGGTCTAACTCAGTTTCTACTGAGAATTCAGCTTCATCATTGGACATTCCCTTTCTGGCTTCTTTTAGTAAAGCCATTTCTTCAGCAGCCAAAACATTCTGTAAAACAATATACAAAACAGTATGCTATTTTATAAATTTTAATAAAATCATTGGCCAACAGTTTTATGAGATACATTATCATGACATATTTTATATTTAAACAGTATATTTATATTCATTTGTTTAAGGAGACTTTCAATTTATTGTATTTTTCTAGTAATTTCCTATTGATAAATATCCGAACAAATATTCTTATTACTTTTCAATAAATATTAAATTACAGTCAATTTATATAATAAATACAAAAATATATTAAAATTATGTTATTTATGACAACCACTGTCATACATTTTTCAGGTAAATTTAAATCATTGTTTGTTTATTCTAATACACCTAAAACCTGTAAAATTTATACTTTTGGATTTTTATTAAGTATAAAGAAACTCACCTCAATTCGGGTGCCTGTGCCTTGCACTTGTAATCTAGCAAATGTCAGCCGTTTATTGTCGTCAACTTCTGATACAACTAAAGTACCTAGTTCTAAACTACTATTAGGCATATATATTGGACTATAACCACTGGCTTCATAATCTGCTGCACACTCTTCTATAATATTCCGAGCTTCTTGTTCAGCATCACTTACAATAAAAAAAGTTTTAAAAAATGATTTTAAAAATTAAAACATATAGGTAATATAATACAATATTATATATTATTTATAATTTATAATTTAATCACCTTATATCTTCTGTAGAACTATGTGACTCTTCTTCGTTTTTATTACATGATTTTTTTGAAGTAGATGGTCCATCATAATTTGATGGACTGCTAACCTTAGCCATTTGTCCATGATTTTTGAGACTACTTCCTTCTTCAAGATCAAATTGTGATTCCTCCATATTTTGTTGTGCTTTCAAAACTACAAGTTTTTTCTTTAAATTTTCTTGATGGCGATCTCTTAATCTAGCTCGTGCAACATGTGCTATAATATAATAGTATGGTTAAAATGAGTTTTAAAACTTTATAGTTCAAATAGAGATCATAGGTTTGTTAAGTTAAAAATTCTCAAATATCGTATTATTTAGTATTTAAGTTTATCTATTTGAATATGTGCTAAAGATTTTGAAATATTATAGGCTATAGCCTATAATTATCAGAGGTAAATCTTGGGTTCTAAATTTAGATAAACAATTAACATTTTCATAAATGAGTAAATACCTATATTTATGGTATCCCATGAAGTTAATCCCATTGCAATATCTCCTGATATAATATAGGTAATCAAATTCTGTTTTTTTTTTACATTATCTGCAGGGATTAGGAATACAAATATTTAAATTTGGATTAATTTTTTATATTATGGTAAAAAAACTAAAGAAAAAACTTTTTATTTTAATGTTCATAAAAAAGTATCAATATTTATGCAGCAGGCTGTAATTGCATTCGCTAATTTATTATTATTATTATTATGGCAATTGACTATACATTTTTTTCGTTTAACTTAAAAATGTATACGTCAATGTTTTCATAAGAATAATAAACTCTATAAAATAGTTATCTTCAAATTTTTCAAAAATAATAAAACAAATTTACATTTTAAGTTTTTTACCAAAGTATAAAAAATTAATTGAAATATAAATATTTGTAAACCTCATCCCTGAGTCATATTAAAAAAAAACAGAATTTGATTGTCTTTATTATCTTCGGAGATATTTTAAGTATTTCTTCGTGGGACACATCTTATACCATTACATGAATAAGGAGATTGCATTAAATGGGTCCTGTGGAAGACAGTCTGTATAAAAATTAATTTGATTATCATAATAATAAAAATGTTTGCAAGATATCTCTTATAAATACTTGAACAACTGGGAGAGTTGTTCAGGAGGGGGGGCTCCTGCAATGTCCACCATATGATACTTATTGTATGAAGGGCTAGACATGTTATCACAACAGGAAAAAAAAACAATAATTATACATATAAAATGTACATTAGTTATTAACATAACATCAAGTTATAATAATAAAATTAACTATTCAACATAATGATATAAAAACGTATTTATAACCTAAATACAACATAACATATATTATGTTAACTACAAAGTTACCAAAATATACACACAAAATTGGTATTTCATTATTTTGTATGATAAAGAAACATATTTATATTGGTCAACATTGAATCAGATCAACAAACCGTACAAACATAATATTAATAAATAATAATTATTATAGGTAATAATAACAATTTACACCTTTGAGTTGTGACAGTAAAGTTTCCCAATAACCAATATCTACACCTTCGGCTTTGCTATTGATTTTCTTTTCAATTTGAGTTTTCAATTGATCCAATTGTTCAGCAGTTTTACCTCGAAAAATATGAGCTACTTCATGAGCAACAGATTGATGAATTCCTTCTCTACGGCCAACAGCTAAAAATTTATTTTTAAGCATTTATATTGTTATAACAACTATTATTCGATCTAGTATTCATTATTTTATTAAGTTGTCATAACTAAGATAAAATTGCACACCCAGTATTTGAGGGGTTGCATATTACCTATATATTATCTATATATTACCTATATATTACCAATATATTATTATTCCTATGGTACAGGCAAAGAAAAAAAAAATAATAATTCATCAGCTCAAAAATAAGTTTTGTTAAACATAATGTATATAGAATAAACAGTTACAATAAATTCAAAAATATATTATTTTTAATTATTAGATTCTGATTGAAGCAAAGAATGTATTAGTTTACAACATATATATTTTGTTATACTGTGTGCAAAAATTCTACCAGAAATCTTGTTCAAATTTTCAAATGTAGCATCATTTCTGACAGTAAATTTTCCTGAAGTGGTACTGTAATATTTTTTTAATTTTTCCAAGTAGTTTTCAAAACAATTTGACAAAAACAGACAAATTTATGAAAATAATATTTTTATAATTTTTGTTGTAATTTAGTTTAAAATGTTCTAAAAGGCTTGAAATTTGGACAGAAAACTTATATTTGCTTTTTCTAGCCATAGTCAAATGTTCAGAACATTTAAGCCATTTTTGAGCTGAATAGACATTTTTAATTTTATGAATTTTTTTTACATAATATTTGTGAAAGTATGCTGTAGATAAAATTGTTAGACTAAACAGAAATGCTTAAAATTTAAACATAAAACATTTTACAGGGGGTTAATTATAAGTTGTACTTAGTGGTCAATAAGACAAATTTGAGTTTAATGAAGTTTTTTTTTTATAAGAATTTTAATATTAAATTTTGATGAATATTATGGCCTTTTAAAACATGTATAACTGAACTCTGCTCAGAATCGTATATTTTTAACAATGATTAAATGTTGCGTACAAAAATACAGTTAGTTCTTATCTTTAACCTTCCCAATTTCTCACCTACAACAATAGCCCACCCATTTTAATATGCCCTCTTTTATAAGTTTTTTCTAATTGTAATCAATATTTCACTTAACTCCCATGAGATTAACACTAGATTGTTGTTTTCATTAGTTTTAATAGATGTGTTTCCTTTAAAATCAATTTAAGGGCAAAATCTGAATTTGATCTAATAGATCAAAATGTCCCATTATCTATTTAAGAGGTCAATTTGTTTATTTTACAACTTTTTAACAAAATGAAATAAAATATTTACCAGTATAAGCAGATTGTTTTTGTATCCTTCTCATTTTATGCAATTCATCTTCTACAATGACAGTTATGTCATTCCAATAATCAAAGTTTTTTCCTTTTTCTAATTCCATATAAACTTTTATATCTTCTACAAGGTCTTCTAAATCTTTAAGTTTTAATCCGTTCAAATAAATGTAAGGTTCATACATTTCTACAGCATCTACTTCTTCTTCAGTACTTATGTATTTAGCAAGAAGATCAATTGGTTTGGCTGAAAAAATTAATTTGAATGAAACATGCTAAAAATATTTAATATTGTATTAATTGTTTTACGATATATTACCTCTACCATCTTCAATACGAATAGTAGATCGTAATCGAGCTTGCTGTAAATGAAACTGATCTTCACTTTTCTCCCATTCTTTAAACTGGGCTGCTTCTTTACTTCTTTGAAGTAAAGCCATTTCTTCTTCTCTTTGTTGCCTCTCCATTTCTCTTTCCATTCGTCGTTTTTTTACTTTTTCTAATTCTCGTTTGTTTTCTTCCATTTTTTGTCTATTCCTTGACTCTAATTCTTCATGGCTGACACCTACTAAACCTTCTTTTGCCATTTTTTTATCCCATACAAATGTAGACAACAAATTTGCATCTCCAAATGGATTGTCAGCGTTTGTATAATGTAGGTAATCATTATCCCAACCCATTAACTCTTTACGCTTTCGTTCTTTCGCTTCTTTCTTCATCAAACGCCTAAATCGTTTTTCTTCTGGTGTTTCCATAGCTTTTATCAATTCTTTTTGCTGCTTTCTTTCTTCAGCTACTTTAAACCTTTCTTGTTGTAAACGTTGTAATAATTTTGCTTCGTCATTACTAGATGATGATGATGATGATGATGATCTGCATACATCAAAATACATAATTAAAAAAACTGATTAAAGAAATGTTAATAAAACAATCTAACTAAAATGTGAAAATTGTGATAGTCCAGATTATCAAAAAAAGAGCAGACACTGCTGACGAGTGGTGTGTATGCTGGCAGTATTTACGGTATACCGAAATACTGGTTAATTGAAGTACTAGTGTATTGGTGTACCGAAATTTAATAAATATACGGGTTTTACCGAAAATTGGGTATTCGATTATTAGGTTATATTGAATATTCAGTTGTTTACTTAAACAAAACCAAAGATATATCTTTAATTATGTTACCTAATAAACCAAATTTTATTTATTTACAACATCTATTATTTAAATAAATTAAATTTTTTTTTTTCCTTTGATTATCTAGTTGATGCATTTGTGTATTCGTTGTGCATCAGTGGTTCAGAGGTACCTACTCATGGCTAAATAACTATTTTACCAATGTGTGTTAACTCACATGGTGAACAGTTCACTTTATATTTATTTAATAAAGTTGTTTATATATAGTCATGTATCTACTATCTATTCATTCTGTTGTAATGTTATTTGTTAAAATAATATAATCACAGCAGTGAAAACTTATGTCACAAAAACTTTAAATTTTCAAAATTAATACATGTGAGAAAACATGGAATGTAAATGGTGGAAATACGACAAATTGATTAAACCATCTAAAATCTCGACACCCTAAACTTTACATAGTTTCAAAAGATAAAGGTGAATAAAAATGGTAATGGCTTCTGGTTTATTGCCTTCACACACGCAACTTATAAATAGTTCTATAAATGAAAGCATAAATTTAGAATACTATGAAAGAGAAGTGAATCTCCACCACTTATTTTCGAATGAATGCATAAATTTAGATCTTCATCAAATAATTGATTCTCATAGAATTGCAATTTATAATGTTGATAAAAATGAAGATTTAAGCCGAATGGACTCATTTTTGAACATATTAAAGTTTATATAAAACACATGATTAAATAACGCTGACACATGCTGAACAATTAATTTTTTATCTATGAATCAAAAATATATAAACTATATTTTAGTAATATACTCATACATTCCTTGATAATAATAATTTAATAATTTTAATATTGTAATAAATTAATAAATGACAATATTTAATTGTGTTTTCTTTTTTTATTAATTTTATTTTATTACATTTATTTATTATATTAAAATACAGAAAATATTGAGCAACTGAAAATAACAAATAACCAAAAATACTGGTAAACCGTTGAGTAAACCAGTAAACCCACTTAAATTAAAACCGAGTTATTAATATGTTCACATAATGTTTGAAGCCTGTTTTTATTTTATATTCATACCAGCACCAACTCTTTTTTACGGACCATTAACATAAGATGTCAAAGTAATTTAATAATTCCTTTGCTTCAAGAATATGTGTTTGTTTTAAATAATCCATTCCCTTGTGAACCCATTCAAGGAGAAAGAATACCAGACCATGAATTATCAAACAAAAATTTAAAAAATTGTCATCATTCATATAAGTTGTTTGTAAACCTAACTCCAGAACTTTGTGAAATTTACATTAGCCAAGATGATAAAAACACCCTCTGATTACCAATTCTGAACCAAACACATTACTAGCCACTGTAATTACTACCTTTACAAAATGTATTTGTAAAAACAAATAATATACAGTAATAATAAAAAAATGATTTTTAGGGACTTGTATTACATATAATAACATGTAAAACATGTATTTATTATTATGTACATATATGTTGCATTTAAAGTTTTCTACTTCCAATGTAGTGTGATTGCCAGCATGATTACGTTGTTTAACCCATTTCGCATTAAAAATGTATTTTGATGTAAATAATGCTGCATCATACTTGTAGTTATGCAACATGTTACATTTCCATTGTAAACTATTACTTAGTTTATGTTGAATTGTGTATGAGAATTAACCATACACAATTTTATTTATAGTATTACCGTTTGTTTTTAAATTAAAGATTTCGCTCATTTTCATCTGTTTATTTCAAAAACATTAAGGATTTCACAACATTTACAGTCGATGTAAACTGAGCATTTGACAGAAAAACCAAACTATTACCCAGGAAAAATCACTTTAAATTAAAAAAAGGTGAGTAAAGATTAAGTGTAATAAATTTATAATATTATATACGACTGATAATCAAAATGATAATCTTCAATATAATATGATTAAATTCTTAATATTGAAAGATAAGTAAAGATTAGGTAACCCAGCTCACCCAGTTATCTACAAGCGAAATTAATAATTAAATTCTGGTTTTTTTTTTTTTTTATCAGAATTTTATTCGGTAATTCGTTTCCTATACTATAGACGGACAATAAATTCACATGCAAAGTTCCCTTAAGTTGTTTTATTGTTTAACAGTTGATTAGTATTGCTAGTAAACAATTTGAATGTTTTACCTTCTTTTACTTTTGTGTTTTCTTTTAGACTTCTTTTTTGAAGAATGTTTGTGTTTGGTTTCAGTTTTACTGGTTTGAGAAGTAATTTTTTGATTATAATGCCTTGATGATGAAGCCGACCTAAGAAAAATTTAATAAATAGGTAGATACATTGTTTCTAACATTTATATAAAATCAATTCATAGTCAAACTCAATATAAAATTTCAAAATGATAACTTACATTATTTTAAATGGACCTTTGATATTCAACAAAATGGTTTAAAAAACAAATTGTAACAAACGAATAAGAACAACATATTATTATAACAATTTATCAATTGTACATGTTAATGTTTAATGATATGAGATTGTAAAAAATATTGAAAGCGGAGTAAAATCCTTCGCATAAGGTACTTTAGTCTGTGCACATAACCAAACCTTATCAATAAAATGATAACAATTTAAATTTTTTTCACAAGAATAAAGTCCAGTGTCTACGTCATTTTCTTCTTATCAGTAATAATTTGAACATTTGGATCCAAACAAATAAACCGATTAAATAAGTCTTAGATCTTAGATCATATACTTATAATTCTATAAGATTAAAATATTAAACATATATTATATATTATACATATGTATCTTAATTCGTGGATTAGATTCAAAAGTATAAAAATGTATTTATAAATGCTGCGTAATTCTGCATTTTAAATACTAAGATATTAGTTTGATTACTGAAAACCTCATTTGAGTAACTCTTATTTATTAATAGTCTCGTTTTAGTTTGTAAGTACTCGTATTTTAATAGAATATGAGCATTGAAAAAAATGTCTTAATGTGTGTACCTAAGGTCTTGATCTATAAACCAATCATATTTGATAAGAATTTTTATCACACATATTACATATTATCTTAGACTTTATACTAAGGTCTATGCATAGATAATACACTATTATATATATTATATATTGTCTATGGGCCTATGCATATTATACTATCTATGATTATTACTCTGAGATGACGTCACACGTGTCTATACCATTTGTTCCAATGACTATTTGTTCTACAAAATGTGAGAAGTATTTTGTGGAACAAATGATTTTGAAAGAAGTGTTTAAATAATTGTTTTATAGTAAATTTGTGCCACAAACCGTTTGTTAACATACACATTTAATCCGATAAACATTTCTTCCATTCGACCAATGACTAATTGTTCCATAAAACGAAATGGAATAAAGTATCGCGGAACAAAAGTCTATTGACAGAAACATTTGCGAATTATAAGTGTGTTGGAATAAATAATTTTCGAAGAAATGTTCACTAATCACAAATATTTGTTCCAGCGTATTTATGTTCCGTTAAACATTTTCTTAATACTTTTGAAATCTCACAACTCTTAGTATAATCTAAAATCTCAACTTCATAATAATTTAATCGTGGTAATACGATATTGCGTGTTCCTTATTTGACACGATGATCGGTTGCTAAAAGCTATACTTCAACTCGATGATCAATCAGATAAGTAATCCTATTATCGGCAACAGTGGCGTTCTCAGGAATTTCCAATGGGAAGAGAGGGGTTGTGGTAATTTCTAGAACAATATGTAAGAGGCTATCAGCGTACTTACCTCTATTTACGACACTTAATATTATTTTAAATAATAATATGAAAAACAATACAAAATTTAATCAATAAACTTTCTATTTTAGATTCTGAGTGGAGTGAAGAAGCTTATGGTTTTACATAAGTAAGATGTTATAACTTTTCTATCGGCAATTTTGCTCCAACTTTTAATGATAGCAATTTTTCTAAAAGGAAATTTCACTGACACCGGGGAGGTACTTTAGAGAGATCGTTTCTCGATTTTCTCCGGAATTTTCTGAGAAAATATGAAAACTCGGAAAAAACATGGTCCAGGTAAAACGTAGGAATACTGGAGAAATCAGTACAACATTTAACAAATATTATTAAAGAAAATGTATAGTGCCCATTTAATTATTTTACTATAATATGGCATATATATTGTTGACAAAGCATCACTATCAACTGAACTCCGCTCAGAATCGTTTTTTCACAAGCAACGGTTTATCATTGTTTACGGGTATACATTAAATTACACTGGCTGTTCCCGTCTCCTTTATCCTAGGACATATTTTTAATAATTTTCTACTGCAACAAATATATTTATATTGTAATTGTAAACACAAACCATACGATGAGACAGTTAATTTTCACATCCCTTACAAATTTTAAAAAGAATTGATTGCAAAAAAAAAAAAAAAATACGGCCAATGGAAGGTGGGTTTAAACCCCATGAACCCCCCCTGAGTACGCCCATGATCGGTAAGCATCCTTTCTATCTAATCTATTTTTATGAGTTTATTGTTTCGTGAATACACAAATTGCAGGTATAACGTCCTCTTAAGAGTACATGTATACATAGTCCATATATATGAAAATAAATGTCTGTCTGTATGTCCTTTAGTAACTCAAAAACTACTGTGTCGATTTTAATGAAGATTTTTGCAAAATATTCTATTTTGCTATTGAAATTTCTAAAATTCAACTCCTAAAGAATAATTGACACGTGGATTTTAATATTTTGTGGTATAATTTTCGTTGGTTGGATTACCTTGATAACAAAGTACATATTAATATTATTTTTATTATTTGTCTCCTCGTCGTCTATGATTTTTATTTCAATCGGCTCAAGATAGTTTTCTTGTGTAGACTTGCGTATTATTATAGCATAGTTTGATTTTTTTTTTTTTCTAAGATAATATTTTGCTAACGAAAATGCTATTCTAAGTGGAGTTCAGGCGATGGTGTTGCTTTGTCAACAATACAATACATGGTATATCATATTATGACAAAATGATTACAACAATGTGCGTTTCTATGACAACAGTGATTGTTTAAAAAATATTTAAATAATGAAAACTTAAGTTAAAACAAATAACAAAAAAATTAATTTTATTCGTGGGATAAAGTGTTCATAAAACAAATGTCCACTGGAACAAATTTTTGCGGAACATAAGTCCGATGAAACAAATGGTAAACTGTGGAACAAGTATTTTGTGGGAAAAACGGGTTACACCTGCGCATTGATTAAGATATACTTAATTCGATTAAAATATCTTCATTCGTGCGCCCATGTCACACTATTCACGCGTATTTGGTTTAAGATATCTTAAACCGTGGTCCGTGGTTGGTAGTGTTGTTTGGTTGTTTTTTGTCGTTATTTGGTGGCTGTATGTCGGGTGGCCTTAAGGGGGGCTTAAGGGGGTTAGTGTGTTACCTATCTACAACCAAGATTACCGTGCTATTGAATATATTCTTTAACTCGAATCTCGATGCTGGAAAGTAGTTTGATTGTAACTTGTAGGTATATTTTGTATTAATGTATTATATTATATATATATATTGTAATATATTATCCATATCCGTGATTTTAACTTAGTTAATTCGCTTAAATTCAAATAAAACACTTCAAAATGACTGGTAAAAAGTTATTAGAATTCAATTTAATTACAGTGGGTGACAAAAATATTGGAAAATCTTCTTTAATAAATTGCATTATTAGTTCAAATTCTGATATGAAAGCTATTCCAACCATAGGTGAGCAAAATACAAAAATAACTATGTGCCAAATTTTTATTACACCCTCAATGGGTAAATGGTATATACCATTTACTTATATTTTATAAATTGAAAAACTTAATAAGAAAATTATTATACCTTCCTAATTATTATTCTGTTCTATGCCTTCCATTGTCTAAGTAATTCCTTCACTTTACTATAAACCTTTAGTGATTATAAGTTTAGGTTATTTTTTATTTTAGGTATAATAATTTTAGTTTACCTTTAGAACCCTTACAAATTTATTTATTTTTATAATAATTTTAAATAAATAAATAATAATAATAATACAAATAATACAAATATGGGTATTTTTATTATGAATTCACATAAACGACATATTTTATCTTTTATTTATTAGAATTGCAAAATAAATCATTATGCATATTATCAAAAAATAGTAATATAAAATTACCTAGAGTCCAAAGCGCATAAAACATTAAAATCATTTTTAAATTTTTACCCCTACTCCATATACCTTAAAAAGTACATCCTTTTGTTTTTTAAATAGGAACTCCCTTTTTTGCACATAGATTCGAATAAGAACTATAGATCTGAAGTACAAAATTGTATTGTAATGTATTGTCAATTTTACAAAATTACAATTTTAATAGTGTTAATAGATAATAGTTAATTTTATCCACTCAAAAATATTATTCATTCATGTATCTTAACAATTGTGTATATTATAATATTACCATACAATATAATTTTATAATTATTTCATATACACTACAAACAGTATAATAATTAAGTATGTAATTAAAGTTGTTAATCACATACTTTGAAACACATCAGCAGTGATCTCTTCTCATTAAAATAGAGAATTATAGATTTAAATAAATGTATTATATATTTTTATAAAACACCATATAAAATTTGTATAATATTTATGTTGGTCAAAAATAGTAAATACAGTTCCTAAAATATAGTATAAAATAAATTCAATATTTTTTTAAAAAATACAAGCAATATAAACTTTTAAAATGTTTATAAAATAAGCTTTTACTTATTTTTAGCAATTTTATACAATTCATATGTCTAACTATATAATATTTTCTCTATCTGAAATGTATGTATAAATATAATTATAATAATATTGGAGCATATGTTTTTTATCTGGTTTGTATTTGATCACCAATATGAATTTGTACAGCTTATATTTTTAGACAATAATATTAAATACAAAAAGTAAACATATAAATATAGAATATTAATTTTCTATATTATATTTTATGACACAGAAGTTTGCTTTTCGACAACAATCCTACAATTACTAAAAAATTAAATATTTTATTTTAGGTTCCCCAATAACAAATGGTAAAATAATTGTTCTGACAGCATATCCAAATGAAGTATTATAAAATTGCTACATAATAAAAACACAATAACATTTGATTTATCATTTCAAATATTCAATAAGACTTGAATCTGTTATATATAAGTATAAGTGGAGTTTTAAAGAAACAATTATTTTCTCTTAGACTAATTTTCTTTTGTTATTCATTTTTATAAGAAATAACTATAAAAATGTATAAAATATTGCTTAACACTTAAGTTTTTTAACCATATTTTTTAGATATGTTTTAAATTTGTGTAGGTTTGTTGGTATTGTAAAATAATATTACAATATTATTATTATTTGATCACAGAAGTTATAAGGGTGAAAACATTATTGTTTTTATTATCAACATTTAGTCTGGACCCTGAATTTTGTTCTTAATTTTATAATAATTGTAGTTTAAAGCATATTTGATTATTATTAATCAAGTGGGTTCCCAAAGTTCTACATGATGCTTATATTCAACAATTAATAAGCTCAATATATGTATAATAAAAATATAAAGCCAATTGCACCGTGCACTCATATTACTGTAGTCTCTGAACTTTTAACTGTGATTGAAGCGTTGCTACGAGTTCTTCAAGATCTAGAATCCGTCGATCTCTATGTGCCAATTGTTTTCTGAGCATATTGAGTTCTTCGCATTGACGAGTGAAAGCTTTTTTCATCTATTATCATAAACACGATTATTATTTCAACTAATAAAAATAATAAAAATGATAAAATAATCTAACTAACCTGGTACTCGTTTTTTGGATTATCATAATTTTCCTTCATATTATTCCATTCGTCCTCACTATCATTCTAAAATCAATACAAATTTAAATAATTTAACAAATCATCAATTGAATTTGAATTAATTTTGTACGACCACAATATATATATATGTATATTATACATATTTCATAGAATAATCAGTATAACATAAGACACTCAATATCTCAGAAAGTGTTATTTTAGGAATTTTAAGAAACAAACAGTTCTAAAATGTTGCATTATCATTTTTTTGGCGGTAAAACTATAACCCACTTTAGATTTTAAAATTGCAATCTATATTAAAAATTCCATTAATAGATTAATTTAAATAATAATAATATTTATTTAGCAACAGCAAAACATAAGTAAATAAATAACATAGAACAATTATAAGAGTTACAAGTTCAACCAATAAGCATAGAAATGTTTATAACTGCTGAGCTGAGTTCATAATAAACGAGTTTTTAAGAAAACAAAATAAACAAATTTATATAAGCCTACAGTATTAAGTATAAAATATTTAGTAATTAAAAAAAATGTAAATATTGCTAATATATTTCTTGTAATTGTTGAAACTAACTAAATTATTTAAATTAATATTATATTTATGAAGCAAAGAAATTTGTTTAACTATCAGACTATATGTCCTAAAATTAGAGTGATAAGATGATACAATTAAATTAAAATTATTTTTAATTCTTTTATTATAACAATGTGTAGACTAAAATTTACTACTATTAACTTTATACATATATAATAGAACCTGTCGTTACTAAGGTTGTATAAAAGTATAAACCTTAAACTCAAAATAAATTAAGTTAGAAGAATGTAATCTAGGTTTATTAAGAAATTGTTTTTAGACAGAAGATTAATGTGGAAGGAGTTTATAAAGCCCCACACTGAGATCATAAGAAAGAACAGATTGTGCAAAAGCTAAATAAATAATTTTAATAGTTTTAGAAGCATTTTTTTGAGCAAACAGAACTTATACATTAATTTTTTAGTAAATTATTTACTATTAAATATATTCAACAAATGAAATTTTATGCCTAAAAATATTTTTTAATCTAAATTACTATCTATAAAGTGTGAAGTTTTAGTTAAATAATCAATGGTAGACATATTCGAGCAAACACTAAATTGATTAGATGAGAAAAATCATATTTATTTAAGAATTACATTAGTTTTAATTTTATATATTCTTCAAAAATACAGTTAAAGTTACTGGATCTTTAATTACCACATAACTTGCGATTTCCTGTTTTGAACAGATGTAAAATAATAGTTTTTTTTTTTTTAAACTAGAAGGATATTTTTCAGTAATTAATGATCTATTTAAAATAATAGAGACTGTAATAGAGATAGTTTGCTGTTTGTTTTGAAATCAAGTTATATAAGACATTATTATAAAAAGAGGATCTACCAGGTATTTTTTTTTTTATTTTTCAGACAGATTTACCGAGTCAAACGTTATCTGAAATATTTTTAACAACATTAGTAAAAAAAATTATTAAATTCATTTAAAATGTCTGTTTTATCAGTCAAAATAGTATTAGTGGAATTAGTTTCAATGCAATGAATTGAAGGATCCTCTTTTTTGGTAGAATATGTAGCTTCATTTATTAATTACCTAACCTATTTATGAAATTGTTCAATACAGTTGTTATTTGAAAATCAAAAGTAGGTAGTGGAGTGGTTTCACCCCCAAAAATATGACATGAATGTAATAAAACATTTTAGAGCTGCTTGTTTTTAAAAAATAAATTCCTTAAAAAAACTAATACTTTCAGAGATAATGAACGTCTTATGTTATGTTGACAATCTGTATATACATTGTAGTAGACACTACTTATTGAACTTAAACAGGTTATTTATTGGAAAACATGAAAATATTAACCTAATTTTTCTTTATTTAATTTAAAATTTGTTTCATTATTGTATAATATACACCAATTATTTATTACATAATACACACATATATCTTTTAATTCTTAGGTCTTTTCCCTTGTTGTCTTAATAAGTCTTGATTCAGTTAATAGTCTCAAATGATCTGGTCTCAAAGTAATTACAATAAGTAGTGTCTACTGTATTTTAAATTCTACTCTTGACTTCTATTCACATTCATTAAAAAACTTACTATGTTTGTAAATTTGTTAACTAATGGATTACTAAACTTCTGTTGAATTTGTTGAAATCTTGTGTTTTGATTTACTTGAGTCTTTTGAATTTTTTCGTTCTCAGGTAGCATCTATGTAAACAAAAGAAGTAGAATAGGTTATACCAATCAGTTTCTCAGCACTAAATTTATTTACATCTAGTGGTCGGTAATCAGGAGTAGTTTCCTTTGAAAGGAATGCATATTTCATACGATAATTGGTATCATTTCGAGTGGCTTCATTTGAAACAAATGCCTGTGGCTTATGTGTTTTTACTGAAATCCCTAAAAGGAAAAAAAAACATAATTCATAATAATAAAAATATAAACATGTATAAACATATTTTGTAAAATACTAATAAGCAATAAATAATTATGAAATAAATTTAGATTCTTACCTGTTTTCATTGACATTAAAATTGGTTGTTTGTTGATACCGCTAAACCATTCTTGTGCATTCAATGCTGGTACTGGAGCAGCAGTATCAGGATATAAATCATGTTGATATTGGTCACTCTAAAATAAATAATAATAAATAATTAGTAACAAAATATGTAAGTTACATTATTTACTATTTTAATATAAATATAAAAAATTGATTATTATAAATTGTAATGAAAATAATAATTTATTTTAATTACACAAATTTCTACTAATTTAAGTTGTTAAGAATTAAAAATGTTTCAAAATATATAAATACTTAATGATGTTGCTAAACTAGTAAGTCAATTATTTTTAGTTTGTCTTTCGGAAAGTTTGTATTTAATATTTACAAGTTTTTTTTATAATCTAACCTTTCTTGGAACAATCATTGATATAGGTTCACAGACGTTACGAGTGGTGTGCAACTTATAAAACCGCATAATTTCACACCGACTTACATTACAGCCACGTTTAACCATCATCCCGAATCCTTTCTAGAAATAAAAAGAACAATTTACATTTAAAAATATTAATAAAAAAATAAGGTTAAAAATAAGTTCAAATAATAATAATAGCATACTTGTGGACAACCTGATATGAATTGATTCAAAAAATGTATATATGGTGATTCCTCGACTATTTCATAATATCTTATATTACCATCGCCCTAATAAATAATATGTATACAATCAATTTAGAAATTAAATGAGAAACAAATAATAATAGTAATAATAATAACAATAGTTTAAACAATATAAACCAACACTAACTTTTCCTGCTAAGTAAACCATTCTAGTATCATAGTCATAATACGGGAACAAAATTCCAGACGATGAATCAACATTGATACGTTGTAGTGGTTCTGATAAATCAGAGTGATTCCATATAGCTATCTGTCTATCTGAATAGGTTGAAAAACCTGTGGTCAACAAACGTTCGTTGTCTAAATAAACCACTTTACCTGAACGCGATCCTTCATGACAGATTCCTTCCTAAACAATAAATATTAAGTATACCTAAAACAGTAAGCATTATTAAATTTACTTACTGAAACCACTAATCCAGATCTAGGATCAATTGATCTAATTCGTTTGTCTCGGCAAATTGTTGCTAATCGACTACCATCTCTATTAAATGCTATAGAATGCACAGTGTCCAGATGACAATCGATGGTATTTAAAATTTGGCCAGTTCCCACATCCCACAAAATTACCTATTATAAACATCAAAATCACACTAATAATTAATTATAGATAACCTAACAAAAATTAATTATAAATAACTATAGATATAAGCACACTATATTCAACAATAATAAATAGATAGCTTTATTATAACAATTTAACACTACATTATAGCTTACAATTGTGCAAATAGAATTTAAATAATATTATGATTAGTTAAATTATTAATTAAATAAATTGCACTTATAATAAAATAAACATTATTAACATTATTACACCTATAAAATTGTGATACTCGCATTAGATCAATTACTATTGAGTAAACACTAAAAAAAATATTTAAAAATTAAAAAAAAATAATAATAAACTTCCAGTTTCTTACTTTAAATAATAAAAAAAATTGTTTTTATTCACCCAATATTTGTGTCAATAAAAAATTAATGAATGATTAGTGCTATGAAGATGTCAAAATATTTTAATTTTGATTTTAGATTATATATAATCTATTTTTTGAATACTAGATATTCCAAATTCATTGAGTGCTTTGTATTATATAGTAGATGTTATTTCACATGAATATGAAATATTTGAATAATTAATTGAATTTCCTTATCTTTTATAGATTTATCTATTAATATAAAAAACAATATTTATTATAACAGCTACACCTTATAATGATACCATAAATCACTCACTAACTACTTCACTTAAAAACAGGTAGTTTTAACAGTTTTTTTTTTGAGAGAGGTTATATAAACCAATATAATATTATTATCTGGTTGTTACAGTGAGGTCTCCAAATAAATTAGAAATCTATATTAGGTACTTAGTATGTATCTATTCAATATTATAACTGCTATTTTTCTAAAATAAATATTAAATACTTTTTCTTACTATGTAATCAAACCCAGAACTAGCTAAAACATTTTCTGCGGTTGGATGCCACTCAATATGGCCAACTCTGCGTCGATGGCCACATAATTCAACTAACCACTCATTCAAGTTACAACTCAAACCGCTATCTGGTATATACCATAGTTTAATCTATAAAATATTAATATACCATAATATTTGAAAAATGTCAAATTTTAACAGGTACATGACTTACAGTGCAATCGTCAGAACACGAAGCAATTATGTTATCATTAAATGGATTCCATTTCACATCTAAAACTGGTCCTTTGTGGCCTGTAACTTTGCTGGTATTTAAATCTAAACGACCAGTCTAAAACCAAAAATGCATTAAGATTACTTCTTATACAATTATATTCTTTTCATTTACCTTGTTAATAGGCAATACAACAAATGCTCCTCCGCCAGCTACTTCTGTTACAATAGCAACAAATTTTGGATTAGCAGCACAAAAATTTGAATCATGAGCATTGCGTGTGATTGGTATATTATCATACAACTCTTCCCGCTTTGACGGAGAACCAAATACATGCCGAAATTTTGAATTACGTACACCTCGAAACAATGACTGTAAAAAATAAGAAAACATACTTTATAATGACATGAGATTTTAATAAATAATAACAGATAATAGAATTTATGTTTAAATTGTACCGTATTGTTTTTCATGTTGAAAATCTGTTAAAATAATATTTCAATTTCATGCATTTCAAAAACAAAACACAAGGAAAAATGTAAGTACACAAAACTGAAAAAAATAAAAATAATAAAAACACACACAAAAAAAAAAAAAAATGATTAATTACTTCTACTATCTACATAATATTTAAAAAACTTACCTACTGTGATTTTACTTATCAAACAGTAGATAGGTACCTAGGCTATATTACAAATCAAAATAATTTCTAATCTAATTTAACACTCTTATTTTGAACTATCTATCTAATTAAAATTACGAGTACTTAATGATCACTCTTGTAGCAGTAATATATACGAGTGCTTGCTGTAGTATTAAATTGTGTATAATGGTTGTATTCAGAGTATAAAACATTCATGAATAATGCAAGTGTTAAACTCATAGCTAATAAAACAGTATCCTTTCCCTCTCACTATAAAGTAATTAGATAATCCAAATAAAATTTTACAATTCGGCAACTTTACTCATAAAACTGTATAATCTAGCTACTATACTGAGAATATTCCTACATCATAAATCATAAAGGTAGTAAAAATTAATTAGGTAATTTTCACTGTACTTAGTTTCAATGATAATAATATTTATACATATTGGTTTAATCATCAATTAAGCAATGTAGGTAGTAGATACCTAATATTTAGGGTTTTGAATTTAATACATTTGCGTGTTTTTTTATGTTACATTGTATAAGAAAATGGATTTGATCAAAAATTTGTTTTGTGTTATGTGTAATTGAAATTAAAAAAAATTTGCCTTGTATATTTAATGGGTTATTTGTAAATTATAATGCATTTTTGCATTTTAAGGTTTTTTAAAAATATTAAATTTAAAATTATAGTGCTTTTTTTACATGTTTTCGAATTTTAAATCGGAGCATGTTATTACATGTTTAAGGAATTTGAAGAGCATGTTTTAATGTATTATTCATACGTTTTTAGTGCATTAAATTCAAAACCCTACTAATAACAGTGCGTTAACAAACGGTTTTCGCAGAGATCAAATAATAAAAAGAGATAGGTAATAATTATAAAAATAATAATACAATAACAGCGAATGTTCGCTAAAGTTGTCGGTAGGTAACAATAATTCGTCTGTGTCGTGGGTTCTTACTTTGGCAACGGGTTTGTTGCAAGCTCTGATGTCCACCAAGGCATTAGACTTGAATACGTCGTCGATTTTGAAGCCGATGTGTTTGTCCAGAGTGCCCATGATAGGTAGTTGGGTGTACTAATAGCCCTCTGCGACTGCCGGACGCCGGCGGCGGAAATAAACAACGGGCAAACAACGACGCAGCTCCCACTGGCTCCTAAGTGGTCGTCAGCCGTCACTCGTCTTTATCATTACAAACATAACAACAATATTATTATCAGAAAAACGAAAACAAAAGTGGCGCGCGAATTCTGTGCGACCCGCAACGTGACACCTGACAACGGACGACCGCGAACTGACGCCAGCGCGTTATTGTATAATAAATAATATCGGTAGTTGACGCAGTGTGCATGTGCGTGCGGCGTAAACAACGGAGCCGGATTAGCGCGCAAGCGCGTGCGAGTGTCCGCGGTTTTCTCTGGTTACGGCGCCCGCGGGTGTTATTGTGCCTGACCATGGTAACCCCGTAGACGAATTGGTCGAATGGGGCGCACCGAAAGGGGTCGACGACCTCGTTTCGGTGTCCGTGTCGCGTGACCATAGATAATGGTAATATACTAATATTGTTATTAATAATGAGTGACGTAAACAATGGCCGCTCGCCCGGGTGGACGGTCGCACACTCGCAACGCGATTCCCGGTAACGGGTTTGATATTTTATAACATGTTAATATCATAATCTTTTCTATAATATTGAGGATGTAACTAGATTTCAGAGACGTCAGCAGGGCCGGACCGTAAGACTTGCGTGTGCTCAAGTATCACTTAAGCGATATGCGTGCCTACCTTGCCTATACAGGTCCGAAGAGAGTAGGGGCAGCCGGGGGCTGTGGCCCTAGGGCCCGGGCCCAACCAAATCAACCCGGTCCTATATTTTATCTAATTTTTACATTAGGTAAAACAATTATTTGTAGGTAGTTTAATTTCATAATATTTTACTTTGAAAAATCAATATATGTTACATACTTATATGAACAATTAAATGTTAATAATATAGTAATTAATATATTTTGTATCATATTATGTGTGTTAGTAACAATATGATTTACACTTTTTAATACCTTACACCTCAACCTTCTTTTTGTGTTGCACATTTTAAAAGACGACGCTGGGTGTTAATGGTGAGTTTAATCTTTGACATAGGGAAGGATTAGTTTGTCCCTGGGGCCCGTGATTTCTCTCCGCGGCCCTGTGCCTAATTTCTATAGCTACGTTAGTCGAGGCCTGAATAGGAACGTGTTAAGTATTTCTTTTAAGGGGTAGTTAGAATTCGATAGTCAGTTTTAAAGTAGGTAATATAGGTATCTCGTACCTACATCCACTCTGCTACGATAAATTATACGGTACAGTAATGATAACGGTATGACTTGTTTATGGTTTTACGTGGAACAATTTTAAACATGTATACCTCATATTAGATAGGTATTTTATATTAATTTAGTACACTAAACACGAATCCAGTAGGGCGATCGCTTCCGTCCTCCTCTCAAAGACGAGAATAAATTGTGTTTTCTATATTAATTAAACATCGGATGTACTTAACACTATATTAAAATAATTCCATTAGTTTAATTATTTCTCAATAAAGTTTATGACAGTAAAATTGAAAACTAAGAAAAAAATTGTGGATTGCCTTTATAAAAAAAAAAAAAAAGAGTTGATACTATTGATGGGCAAAGGCATCATTTGAGGGATTCAGACATTACTTAGGCAACCCTATTTTAATAAATATGTTTTCGGTCCCGTATAAAATGTATAAAATTGCGACTTCGTCGATAAAATGCAAAAGTTAATCGAACCAATGGTCACCGGAGTCCGGCCGTGATGTGTGAGATGTGAGAATGAGACACGGTAATTTAAGACGCATTCAATATTGTTACTGTGGCTAAATATTCAGGCATGTCGGCAAGATAATAATGTGCATTGTAACTGACGTCAGTATAAATGGTATTATAATGCCAATGAATAGACTAGGTATTTGAATATTAAAATGTAAAATGTGAATATAAATACAAGTGAGCGGAAAATGTTTTCAGTTTCGCAAAATAAACAGGATAAGCACCTATATAAATGGCCAAGTGGAGGGAGAAATCGGCCCAATTCAAATATTCGCATCACTATTGAAAAACTGAAATGACGCCCCTGCTAATGGGTACCGCTTTTGTAATCGGGAAAACTGGAAAGTTAAAATACATATAGTTGTTTAACTTATATATGTATATGTAACGATAAATCATTGTTAACAAAAAATCATTCTGCAGGACAGAGATCGATTAAGCAATATTTAGATAAAACAAAGCACTTACACCAAAAAATATTGTTATATATTAATTTATGAATTGTATTGTACAGTTCTTCGATATCAACGGCATCGTGATGACTGAATGGGTTCCAGAGGGTCAAACTGTGAACCAACATTACTATTTGACAGTTTTGGCAACGTTGCGCGAATGAGTTCGTAAGAAACGGTCGATATTGTGGAAAAACAAGTCGTGGATCTTGCACCAGGATAAAGCGTGAAGCGTTATTTGGCCGCTTAAGGCACTCCAGTACTCGAACACGCGTCTTACTCACCCGACTTGGCACCCTGCGACTTTTACTTGTTTCCGAAGATAAAGTCTGCGTTAAAAGGAATCCGGTTTGAGTCGATGGAAGAGGTGAAACAAAAATCGGTGGAACTCCTGAATGGTCTTAAGAAAACAGACTTCCAGCACTGCCTCGAGCAATGGAAGAAACGAATGAAACGGTGTGTGGCGAGGGAAGGGGAGTATATTGAAGGGGAGCATTTGAATGTAGAATAACTTTTATAGTAAAACACTTTTTCGTAACCAGTCTCGTTATTTAATAGCCCCTTATACCACTAGGTACCTCAACCGCCGCTACAACTTAATTGTGCCGCGTCGCTTTACGCGAATAATGCCTTGATTAAAAAATTTAAAATACCTACCTATAAATAGTTCAAAAGTCACCAGTATGTTTTGAGAATTTTATCACGTCGATAAAATGCTAATGAAACCAAAACATTCCTCACTCCGTTTGAATCTACAAAAATATTGGTTAAAATTACAACGATTTTAGTAGGTGCGTAGTAAAGAGTCATTCATTTTTGTTTTCATACAGCGAGAATGACATCGACAAAAGCCCAAAAGAAGCACCTTCCATCCTCAATGCACCTGCAGGAATAAGAACGGGAAAATGGCCTTCCAATATTAACGTGATATTAGTATAATACCTCAATGGTTAAAGTAGTGTGGTATCCCCCTATTTATTTAAGGAAAAATTATCAGTCTCTTTTAACTTGAGTTTTCAAGTGGGACGTTTTAGTTATTGTCACAGAGACATTTTTAATGAAATCTTAAAAACTCTGATTAGCCTTTTTGAAATAAATTCTTTAATGCTCATTGGACTATACGTAAACAGACTGTTTTATTTTATTTTTACTGAACAGGAATTCGCATAGAATAAGAGAGTTTATTTGTAAAGGCTATTAGTACAATATTTTAAAAGTCTTGTTTCTATGATGGGTTTCCTGAAAGTTTGGTTAAGTTTGGACGTTAGTTCTTTGGAACGTCCCATAATTTTTGGTAAATATAGTCTCCCTTCGAAGTTTTCCCCACTTTAACAGCTCATTAGTCATTATAATGAGAGATGTTTAGGTTCCGTTCAACCGAATGAACTGAATTCGTACCGGTCACAGAAAATAAAAATCAATAAACACATATAATTAATCCAATATCAGGCAACATCGCCAACAGTGCCGATCCGCAAATATACAGTTTCATTTCGTCAGCTAAGCAAAATAATATACACGTGAATGACGAAGTACTTGACAAACATAATAATATTATTTACAAAGAGTGAAAACAACAGTGTATCGTTTTCAATATTATTTGCAATGTCGATATTTATATTATAAAAGAGATTGGCTTCCCACGGTCCCTACGTGATCAGTTGCCGTCACGATTGTGTTCACGACGGCAAAATATTCGGAAAACTAAAAACAAAAACCTTTACCTACCCGTCTAGGAGTAGGTAGTGGAGTCGAGACTCGCGTGTCACGTTCGAACGCCTTAGACCGACATTTATTTATAACAAGCTTGACCCGTTGACCTTTACTGTGCGGAAATTACACGGCTATATTCCATTGGCTGTCGCTTTTTCGAAACGGCTTCCATTTTACAAATCGGTCAGTTCTTAATTCTCATACTGCTCCCGTTTTTGTTATCAAAAATTCCTTCATACTCTATGCACACGTAAGGCTGTCTCAAAATTGGTGTGGTCAATCAACGCAGACACACGATACTGCGACGACTATCGAGAACTGATTGAAGACTGAATAAACTCGACAAACTGAAAAAGCTGACACGATCAGCTGTCCTTATCGATAAAGCATATCCAGTTAAAACTAACAAGATTATTAATATTATGGATTGTATAAAAAAAATGGCTTATATTTTGTAGGCCTATATGCACATATTATTATGAGATTGAATAAAATTACTAATACAATTCTTTTGACAATAACCCACGATACAATGCGTGAATCTTAAAATCCAAACTCCACGCTGTTATGTAACGCAATAGATTCAATAGAAACTGTTATAATTTTACGAGCAATATACGAAGTACCTACCCATATAACTTTCGGAGTCAGTAAATTGCGTCCCTGAAAAAAAGGTCACGGTCATATACTATTGCGGCCCGGGTATGTTTCATGTATATGTAAATTGCGACCTGGGTATATTTTGTATAATATATGCCTAAATATTTTTTATTGATACGTAAATTACGTCTAAGACTTTTTTTGCAAAATCAATATTTTCCTTCCCATTTTTCAGACTTAGGTCTGGCAATGTTGTAATTGTATTAATATTGGTATGGTTAAAAATACTGGTTTTGCTTTTTTTTATGTGTCTTTAAAAATGTATTATTAACAATTAGTAATAATATATGCCAGGTAATAATGTGTGTAATTAAATAATTAAAGACCTAGGAAAATATGGATTCATGTGGTGGAAGAAGATCCAAAAACCCTTGGAGTTGAGAATTGGAGGGAGACA